TCGAGCCGACCCATTAGTGCCGAAACATGACTCTCTTGCACTTGGTAGAAACGACGAAGCGAAACGCTTACACGATAATCAATGATTCCAGATGATTTACTAATATCATGCTGTCTGTCTGTATGAGCACATGCAACACAAGACATACTGGTGTGAGCCTAATGGCCCATCATTTGGGCTTAAGTTCTGTGAAACTATTTATCCACTGATATTGTACTTATGGGAACTATAAATTTATTCCACGATCCCCGCAGGATCAAATATAAATAGCAAAGTTTAATTAAATAGCAGTGACAGCTCAATTTATTATAATTTCAACAAATTTATCTGTAACTTTTATCACAAGCAATGAATGTTGTAAGAATCCTTATACATTGTTTTCCTTATAATTACGTAGGTGGACATGAAATGCTCTGCCGAGCTGAGTAATGGCGACCACAAAGTTCAACATTAAACGACTGTCAGACACCATCCACCAGCTCAGCCCAGTGTACCGTGAACATTAGCGACCTGGCCTACTGCCAGCATACTCATGTGCTCAGGGTGAAAGGTAGTTCACCAAAAAAAGGTAGTTCACGTCATCAAAGCGTTAATTTTTTGTTTATATAAGAAACATCAGTATGTTTCTTCCATTTGGTGTTCATTAGAAATACCTATAGGTATAAAAAAAGAAAAAAAAAACCTACTATATGTAGGTTGGTTGGTTCAGAATGATCATAGTCATGCTAACAGTCCGCCTTGATATGCTAAAGTTCAACGGCCAGCGCGCTCCGTGGTCACGGCCATACTGAGGGTAGTAGCGACTAGTGTAGTAACTAGCTACGGTACGGCGCGCACCACGTGTGGCTTGCCGGCAACCCAACCGTTGCCTAGCAACGCCGCCCTACTCTAGCCGTGGGGTGGGTTAAAGTGATGGAAGCATATCGATACACACAATGTCGATAGTTTTGTTATCGATGAAACTAAACTGTGACAAATTGGGAATGACAGATAAATATTTATCAAATAGAAAAATATTAATTGATACTACAAAAATATAAAAAGAAATAAAAATATTAATGAAACAACAAGTAAGGAAAATAGGGATAAAATTATGCGATGTCTTTTTTTTTCTATAATTAATGCACTGACGTTTTGTCAGAAAATGATATTTTTTTTTATGTAATAGCTCGGCAAACGAGCAGACGGATTACCTGATGGTAAGCAATCAGCGCCGCCCATGGACACTCGCAACGGAGTAGTTACGAGTGCGTTGCCGACCTTTTAGGGATTAGGGATTTGGAGATTTAGGGATTGAGGAGGGATTGGGGAAGGGGAAGGATTGGGCCTCCGGTAACCTAATTCACACGGCGAAACACAACGCAGAGGTTATTTCACGCCGGTTTTCTGTGAGGCCGTGGTATGACTCCGGTCGAGCCGACCCATTCGTGCTGAAGCATGGCTCTCCCACACGTAAGATATATATGTATATGGAAGAAACAGTTTCTTTCAGAATATAATGTTTAATGGGGATGAATGGAATTATACATGTATAAGACAATACGTCGGAATCTCCTATAAAGCAAAATAATAAACGGGCTGTGTTGCTCTGAAATATCACAGAAACGACATTTAAAGTTTATTAACTGGTTTCTTGATTCCTCTTTCACTGAATTACAAAATACACTACATTTCAACTTCGTCTGTTTTATTTAGAGTAATGACACTGACAATTATAATGTCAGTGGCGCCATCTATACATAACCTAGTGTAAACTTAAACTGTTTATCTACACACAAATACCTTAAAGAAATTTAATTTCTTTATACATGTTGAATCGAGCTTAAATAACTTAATAGATGAAAACTAGAAAATTTGAACCGCAGCAGCAATTGACTACAACTGACGTTATTCTAAATATTATACATATTATCCTTGAAAGAATTTGAATTAAGCAAGGGTAATCTGCATAAAGATATTAATGCAATATTGATTTCAAATGGAATGTCTGACTAGGTCATCACATCAAACTTTAGCCAATATTTTAAACAAGTGCAGAATAAAATAAATTATTTAATATATCGACACTTTCCCATCACAATTTCTCACGCATGCGTACAACAAAATTTTCTCCATATAAAAGCTGAGATCTGAGAGGGAACAAGACAGTAGCGCTTCAGCAGGCGACGGTAACACACGGCGAGTAACTTCAAGGAGAGCAAGTAATCACAGTACAACACATTAGAAATTATTCTAATCGAGTATCCGAAATTCCACGTATATGTTATGATTATATGGTATGATGGGTTTTCAAATTGAATCTGTATAAGAAATAAAATGTAAACAACAACAGCAGCCCGTGCGGTGACGCTACGGCTGTAATTTGAATTTAATTGTTCAGCTGAAAGCTCCACTATGGCAGTTTAAATAATGGCGCGGACTGTATGCATCCCATTTATTGAGCGCGCGTCGAACATTTTATTTTATTATTAAATAAAACCATCCGTCAACTTTACCGTGTTCATTGTTTTAAATATGTAGTAAATTATGAATGTTTTTGTTTATCTGCGTCAATTAACACAAATAATGCAACTAAATTTGGCAATTCTTGAAGCAAATTTTGCGTAGGCAGTTTTATAAAATAAATATTGTTATGATCATTTAAAATCCAATTAGTTAATTATAGATCCAATTGATAATTTATTTGTTTTGAATGTAAATTTAACGGTTATTAATGTTAATGTTGTAAATAGACGTCGATCATTTATGTGTGAGTGTTTGATCTTAAATAAATAACAAGTGGCGCGGGTCAGGGTCGCGCCCGTGACGTCACACACACACACACACACAAGCTGCACTCATTACAAACAGCAGGTGATCAACCCATCTCCCACTTACGGAAATATTCAGTTCTGTTTATTCAGTACCCACGTAGTGGGAGATATTTATTAAATTTATTCAAGACTTACGTTGTGTAGATTTTTTATACAGGATAGGCAATGAGTTGACGTGTGTCCTGATGGTAAGCGATACGCGAGTAGTCAAACGGTCTGTTAGTAAGTGTGTGTGTAGGTACCACAGGTGTAACCTAATGTCGTTGTGTCGTCTAGAATCTAGATGTTTATTTTTTTCGACAGTCTTAGGTCACCTCTTAATCTAGACTCTAAGTCTATATTAAGGTGAACTAAGACTCTTAGTAACAATGTAGTATGAAGCTGTGTGTAGATACATCAATTTTACGAATGAAATTAATCCGAAATATAAGAACAAAAATACGCTTTCATATCGACATCAGCTGGGAGCCAACTGCGGCCCACGGCTCACGTATCCAATTCCTTAAGCCCGTAATTGGCGAGAGATATAAAAGCACAAATACATTGAATATAATGCTCATAAAATGTTGTGCGCGGCTGACGGCCGCCCCACTGGACGCGCATTGGATATTAATCGCGGGAGAGTGTCGCGGCGCGCGTCGCATACTAACGCGGCAATGTTCGCGCACGCCTGCCTCCGCGGCGCAATGTGGCGAGGTATTCGGGGACGTATCGCGTAGCCGGGTACAGCCCTCGCCTTATAATACAACTTGAAAGAAATACTTTAGTTGCTTGTGAGGAAATTTCAAGCATTATCGTAATATTTTGCTCGGCTTGTAAGCGTTTATTGAAGTCTTCGCTACCTGCTTATATAGTATTGTAAGGATACAAATTGCTACCTAAGACGACTAAGTAAATATTAAATATGTACGCGACATAGAAATATTATAGCTTAACACTCTCTGTCAAAATGTAATAGGACGGGGCGCGCGGCGGCCGCGACGCTGTCACCAATATCCTGCTCGCGCCTGCTTCGTGATGTTTCACTAAGTAAATATATTTTTAGAATGTTACATTATTACAATTTTAAGTCTCAAGAAGCGGGACTTCCTTTGTGGGTTGCCAAACAAAGATACCTTCAGTAGACATCGTTCGCGTCTTCATTTTGTATTCATATTTACGTATCAATGGTCCTTCAGACCCCTGACTCCCCTGACTTACCTAAAGGGTTTTCTACAGTAAGTACAAAGAAATAAGGTGAAAAATTCGCCAAAGATCCATGATCCTGAATGTCGTTGTGTAGACACGTCCAGTAAGTAAGTAGTAAAGTTTGTACAACTCCAGGCTGGCCGACTGCCGCATCGCTAGCACACAGCACGCGGGTGCACTCGACGACGCTACACCGACACACGCCGTCAAGCGTTTTGCAAAAGCAAACAGAAGGATTGTAAAGCAAACCAATTGAAGTGGTATTAAGTTGGTGCAAGTGATTTACATGTTCCACGCCGCGGCGCTCTAAACTAGCGGGTATCGGCCCCTCACGCGGGCATCGATGCGTCTAGCTCGAGCGTACTCGTAAACAGGAGCGCTCAGCACATCCACGACCTCACAAACACCCTCCCAGGCCCACAGTAACGCGGGAGCAGTGCTAGAGTCGAGGATTGTGCTGAATAGTGTGCACGTTACAAACACCTTTGTGAGCCCAGTAACATCAGCTAAAGCCATCCTTAGTGTTGGGGAAGTTAATTCCCAAGTGAGTATCACCGTGTGTGATTGTGTGAACTGTCTCAACTATTAGCACGTGGTGCACACACACCGCCGCCACCTTCATCTAATACACCCGACACACGCACACACACATACACCACGCTCTCATTTCGTATCGGGTAGTGTGAAGGTGCCATAAAGGAACCATCCTTACGCGTGGGGCTACACCGCATCGACAGCCGGAAATAAGCTTTCACTAACAAGTAATAAAGTTTAATTTGGTTTGGTTACAATTCAGGGGTAGTAATAAATTTAATTTTTTGTCTAATGTTCGTAGAATGATCTATGTTATGTTTTAAATTAGTGGAATGTAGTCTGTGAGCGGCCGGTGGCGGTGTGCTCATTGCATACTTTGTGCGTGGCAGGCGTCTGTTCAAGAATTTCAATTTGCTCGTAATATTCGGAGTATCGATCTGACGGTTCCTCCGAGAAACGGCACAACTAGAGGTAGTTCCCTGCATAGAGTATCACAGTGACGGTGGCACTGACCTTCTGCTTGTCGAGCTGCTGCAGGATCTCGTCCACATCGCCGACGGCGACTGACTGCGTGCGGAGCATGTCCACCTCCACAGACACCCAGTCGCGGATCTGGTGACGAAAAGAACATTACACATACATTATCGTTTTAAACCTTAAACATAAACCCCATGCAAGCAATTATGGGTTACGGTTACGGGTGCAATCAACAGTTTTGTCCATATTAGGCAAAATGGTAAACAGAGAGGCAAAGTAATAGTAGATAATAATACAATGACTACCGAGGCGTTCCAACGATACCGTCACGAAGTATGGCGGTGAGACACACATTACAGGCACAGAGCGAGCTCCTGCATCGTCACCTCCGACACATCGACAGCCTACTTGCTCACACACGCCTGATTGGTATCGTGCATACACGCAGGTAACTGTCGATATTCAGAAGACGCAAGCTAAGTCTCGCCCTGATCCCCGACAGAAAGTAGACAATGAATTGTAAGGGGTCGAGCTCGGGCTTAGCATAATTTCCCAATAAAATAGAATGCAGCGAACCTCTCGACCTGCCCGATAACAATACGATTTTATTCCAATACTGTCCTCTGCGCAGAAAAAGGTTTCTAGGAAAAATATTTTTAGTAGATTGCCTTCGGATGGGTGCCCGAGGAATTTTATAGGAATCAGAGCGGGGACGACGCATTTTTTTCCATTTCTCTTCGGAATAGAAAGGGCCGAGGTCATCTGCGGCCGTCGACGTAATGCCGAGCACCCAATTCTGATTTACTGACGCCTTCTGCGACCTTTTTGGAAACACAGGGACGGGGAGCCGGCGGTGTACCTGTAGGGCTCGGCAGCCTCGTGCGCCACTCGTAAAGTGTGCAATAACTCGGTAGTGTCGGCGGTGCCGTAAACCTGCCGACTCGTACTGCAGCGCCCAGTACAGCCGCATCAACAGACACTCTGCTCTGCACCTCTCTCACAAATTGTGACTGCCTTGTGGTTTGTATAACATGTGCCTACATTACAATGTTTAATTCGACACTAATCCTCACTTGAGGAGAATGTTCTCTCATTGAACAGCATCTTGGCGTGCGTGACGCGAGCGCGTATATTCTCAGATAAATTCTCAGGAATATAACTCGGTGAGCAATAGTGGGGCGCGCCGCGACCAGGCCCCGGCACGCCGCGACCAGACCCCGGCACGCCGCGCGACCTAATACCGCCATTCCTAACTATGGATTGTAAAGCATTCTATCTTTGATCAAATTCGCTGTTTAGTTTACTCCAATCAAACAAAATCGCAAGCCTGTCATTCATTCATGTCAAACATTCAAGAAATTGATCTGAAGTAACGACTAGATAGGTCTAGTCGTGGGTGTAGTCACCAACCACGACACGAGCAGACATCGCGTTGTGTCCTGCTACGAGCTACAACTTGTGGTTTCTCAACCTTTGTTCGATGACTGATGAACGAACAGTTCCACGAATGAACAAATATAGAAGCAAATATTAAATAACATTTATCTTGTGTAATCTGCGTACTGCTGTCCTTGTAACTAATTCGGAAGAAATATTCCGAATTAAAATAACTCCATTAAAGTCAATATAAGTATTTGATTCTATAAACGACTCTCATGTCAGTTAAAACAAAGTGGGCGGCTGTACGGGGGCACTCTTTATACAAAACCAAACGAACAGTTCCACACAGAACCTCTCGAGAGTGCATCGCTGGCCCTCCGCGTGTTTATTGACTCCCTCCGCCGAACCGTGATCGCAGACATAAAATGTTGCTACTGGAAATATAATTTTTTGCACAGTCCGGGAATGAGTTGCCGGCGCGGGCCACTCCGGTAATAAAACGGCAAGTTTTCGCAGGAATGCCTCATTCCCGCCACACTGCTCCCTCCCCCGTCAAATTGTGTGGAAGAGATAAACTTATCACCACTAGTCAGCAACTGCCAGTAGGTGCACTCTCCACGCAGTGACAGGAGGATTGAACTACACAATATTTGGTAACATTTGGAGTAGTTCGTTTCTGCAGCACAAGATGTTTTTATTCTACGTTATAACATTACAAAATCAAATGAATACGAAACACCCCTCCAGATTTCGTGTTTCACCCGAGCTCAAGCCGCGCGGGACTTTTCACTAGTTTTCTAAAAGCTATTTGACCAATTGGGTCGCGTGTCGCAGTCAGCTTCATGTCACGCTGTCGTGGTGTAAACCTTTTACAATGTTCTGTGCAGTGACACGCCGCGCCGCTTGATACACGCCACAACAAAGAACTCAATGCAATCACGTCGCTCCACTAAAGAAAAATGTTACCGATTACATCGCTGACTTTATTGCGAAATTGAATCAGAAATTGATGTTAAAAAGGCAATGTATTTTATTTGTGACTTATGTTCCTTATTTTGAACAGAATTTGGAAAACGTTGAAAATTTAGTAACATTTTTCTGAGCTATTGGTTAAATCACTCAACGTTGCTTTTTTCAGATAAAGTATAATCTGCAAGCGTATGTCCGACCAAATTGAGTAGGTACTCCTATCATCGTTCAATTAACTCCACAAAATCGTTTGAGACGGAACTAAATTAATGCCGCAATAGGATAGCATCAGCAGTGAGCAGTGGCTCAGTGCTCAGTGTACCTACAGCGACGCAGGGAGGACACTCGAGTCGCGTCGCGTCCGCTAAACTAGAGTGGGTACTACGTACCGCCACACTGCACACACACACAGAAGTACACATTTTATCTGTTTGGATGCGCCCAGATAGAACTCGTTTAGGTTGTTTCCTATTTCAAGGATGTTCTGGGGGTAAACAGTTTTTATGCCAATGAATTGTTTCTGTAATATAAACGTAAGTAATTATGGTAACACTGTGTAAAAATACCACAATTAAATCTATTTGGACCTTAACCTTGTAAATTGGCAGTGTCTATATGAATACATTCTGTTCACTTCTGAATGTAGTAATACATCAGACAGATACAGAAGATTAGCAAAGTTTCTTTCAATGTGGATTGTTACAAGTTAGCCTTCTGTGTCGCGCGGTGTAGTGGCGCGGCGGCTCGCCCCGAGGATAGTCGACTTCAGATAATATTCACGCCGTCTGCAGGGCGCGGGGTGGGCAGTGCTCGTCAGCAGTTCCAAACGACACCCGCACTACTTCACCTACCCTCCTGCCCACTACACCGGCCACTGACTGGGTTTCACTCACGTTAGAAGTACGTAACAAAGCTATAAAAATGAATGATACACTATCCTGACCACAACGGTCATTTTCATTCAGTGTCTAGCAAAGTCGCAAGCATTTAATATTTTTAAATTTTGGAGTTCACCCTTACTGTTGAAATTCTATATGTGGAGTACACAGCTTCATATGCTGGCGTGGAGTATAGTAAGTGGGTACAGACCTGCTGCACCGTGGTGTCGAAGTTAGCGAGCAGCGCGGCGGGCGACTGCTGCGACGAGCGCCGCCGCCCCGACAGCCGGCCGCTCCAATCTGCAACAACGGACAAACATCAGGACCTCGCCACGAGTATACGTAGCCACAACAACACTGCAGATCAACATTTAAAAGCTCGGAACGGTTTCGCAGCAGAAAATGAACAAATAAACAGACGCTTCCGGTGCCCGGGCCATACGACCGTGTCGGCGACAGGAAACGAACCCGCGATCGAACACACACGCCCCGGCGACTGAGCTATACAGTATACGGCGCACGCTGTACAAGCTTACTGTACTCATACCTATATTGTGTTTAGGTTGTGTCACGTCTAGACATCGAACTCGGTACTGTTTGCACTAGGTATAATATTTGAATATATCTCTCTTAATATGAGGTGAGTGTATGAGTCAACTCAACTCGGACCGAGAAAGTTACATTAGTCATGGTGACTTGGTACCATTTGACGGCGTCAAGCTGTTAGTTCCCAAACTGACTACATAGTGTAACTAGATGTGCAAGAACTGCCTGCGACCTATAAGAAGTACCTACACCTACTTACAACTTGTTGAAGAATAGATAAACACTACAACAAAGCTCAGCTTCATAATTTTCAACCAAAGAATCGTACATGGGTTGTTCCAATTACTGTAACTATAAGCAAACACCGCGGCGCGGCGCACGGACGCCATTTTTTGTAGCACTCGGTGTAGCGGCAGTAACTCACCGCTGTTGTTGCTGACTTTTTGTAGAACAACGCGGCGCGGCCGACGCGAGCGATGCCGGCGACACGACGCGGCTCGCGCTTTAGTTGTAAACTAATTACTTTAAACATTTATTCAGCGGCCGCTTGCCGCAAATTGTGAATTACGGCCGAGTACAATGGAGTACAGTGCCTGCGAGTATACCTACAGGTTGTATCACACGTCACGTCCTGTAGCCGCGCCGTACTACAGGCGATCAAAACACGTTCCGTCTCATCTCATTAAACAAAACGTTCTTTCCTATAAAACTTTTTCTAAACTCCGGCCTAAACATTAAATATCTAACAGCCCGTCACAGAATTAATATTAATTAAGTGAAGTTCGCAGTATCCCGCCAACAGTCCCTTTGGAGATATTTAGGAAAAGTTGGCTGAAAGTCGTCACAAGTCGCGTCGAGACGTTTTATTTGTCGGAGGCTCGGCCTCGTCGCAGGCCGCCCGCGCCAGGGCTTGCTTGCAAACACATCAACTTGAATACAACAACAACACGAGCACAGAAGTACAACTTTAACAATATCATTACAAACTGATCACATGTCATTGTGCATACGGCACAGTTTACAAAATTGAACTAACATTGTATGAAACGATAGTTCCTAAAAACCTCTATTAATAACTAGATATAGATCTGCCTTCAAACAGAATATGCTGAAATTATGAATTAATCCTTCTGTCGTAACACGCAATGTGTGCGTATAAAGTTCACGTCTTCAAACTGTGTGCGTGAAAGTTTGGATTGATTGGACTTTAATGAGATTTGCAAGTTGCGACATTGTTGGCTTCGATGTCTTTAATAACTTGTTTAACAACCAAACGTTATGTTTTCATTGAGCCAGCAATTGATCACTAATGTACTTACGGTAAACAATAGCATATAGGTAACATATATGTTATTGTCCGCCGAATACAAAGTATTGATAAGCCGGGGAACATTGAGAACATTAAGGCACGCAACAATAGCTACAAGATACAGAATAAATTGGACAATACAATCTTGTTACTCGCACGCCCGCGCCCCTGTCTCGGAGGGTCGACTGAGGGAGATCGCCCTTCTGCGGTGTAACCTGTAACTACTGCGAGGGCAACTCCATGTGACATGATGCGATACTTTCCAATCCGGACACTGAATATTTATCCGTTTCAAGTATCGGTAATTTAAAACTTAAATATTGATTTCAGGAGGAACTGCGCGTAAACGGATCAACAGATTAACCAGAACTCGCTCTAAACCGCACTACCCGCTATTGGCCACCGTTGCACTATACATATCTACGCTCGAGACAAACATGAAGTAGTTCTGACAATTTCTAGCGGCTGAAGAAACCATTTCAATCCAAAATCTCGATCGGTTATTACTTTAACAGAAACTGCACACGATGTCTAAAATCCATCAATCGTTATGTTAAATGTCGTGTGTGTCTGTGTAGTTATGTACCTACACTCCTACTGACCAGACGCAAATAACTTAAAGCAAACATAGTTATATGCACACACAATAGATTCATAGCTTAATGCCATTTATCATATCATTAGAACGGGAGCAAGACAACTGTGAATATGATAACATTCATTAAAACCAATGATAGTGACAATAGTTGCCCAATGACGTATTCATAGCGCCGAGCACAATGGCCGGCTCCGGCTGGCTCAGTGGCAATTAGTGGTCACGCAGGCTACACCGCCGAGATAAACGATACAGAACCACCGCTCCCGCCCTGTGCCCACTGCCGCGCCAGTCTCCCACTGCACTTGAAACTCTTATGGACTTATTTTGGTTTGTTAAACGTTAAACATTGGTTCAACAAAACCTGCCACAAGTTTTATGCTTATGAGAATTAACATTACCAATGTGTTACTTGTTGAAGGCACATGTCTCGTCGACGACATTATTGAAGCTCGCCAATAAAGATAATACAAACAAATTGTCAAATAAACTCAATAAAATTAGGCGGCGGCAGTCGTGAATACCGATGAGCGGATCTAAACCTGCCTCGGTTCACAATAGACGTCGGCATTAGGCGCGTTGCTCACGACTTAGCTCTCTAATCCTGTTAAATTAGTTTGCACTTTCTTTGGCCAGTTCGTTTGTAGTCAGCCGGTGATGTGGCTGGATGATAGTCACCGGACGGATAAACTAGAGCCTGTTAATGAACATCCACTGGGACGTGCCGCGGCCGCACTCGGGCAGATTCATGAATTCCACTTAACTTAGACATGAACCGCGAGTCTATCTATTCATGTAGTACTACGAGATATCTATAACATCGTTATGGGAATATTTTATGATTCTACTAACCGCTACTGTCGAATTGTTACTTTATACGGTTTTGTAATACCATTAATATTGTTGCAGAACGGCCACAAAATTTGCAAATGTAACTTTAGTTGAAAGTAATTGATTTACTTGTGAATTGCGAAAAAAAGTAATATGAATAAACAATCATGTTCATGAGTCAGCGTTAACTGTAAAAGTTTTACGGTGCATGTTTAATGAGAGCCGATACAAGATTAAGATTAACATGCTGTCATCAAGGAAGCTGTCATGAATAGTGGACATCGGCATCGGAATAAGTGTAGCTGTGGGTGGCGTTTCACTATATACATAGTACCCGCAGCACGGAGCAGTCAGGACACAGAAAGCGGGAATATTAACTGGACGCGGCTTGTGCTCCAGCGGTCTGATGGTCACAAACACTTCAAGGGACGGGCGGCGGCGCGCGACACCATCTGTAGTACACTAGTAGAGCTATTTGCATATTTTAAATTGGAAATTTCTGGAGACAACAAAAGAACAACACTAACGTTTGGTAGTTGTCAAGAATTCCATAATAATAATTACAATCGAGTACCTACAGGTTGATAATTATATGCGCAGTGAGACCCTCGGCCGCCGTCGCCGCGGCGTGATGGCGGTGACCGATGGTGGCGCCATCATTACTCACTGTCACTGCCCGTTACCTGCTGCTCGTTCAGGCGGACCGGACCGGACCGGACCGCTTGTCATCATATCTTTACATTATAAGGATACCATGAACTGGCTTTATTAGAATTTAATGAATAATTGTTTGTGTTGACAATAGCCTCAACTATGTGTGTCCAATGTCAACAAACGGACAATGAGCGTTAACGTAGTGACGTCATACTGCAGCACACAGGAATTCAGCGCATCTTGATATTCAATCTAAGGCGCCTTGAAGTAGCAGCCGAATAGTCCGCTATATGCTCATTTATGTACATTATCCGTCATTAGCGGATTGTACATTATCGCGGGCGCGATCAACCGTGATGACACGGATACTCGTCGCTCCTTGTGGTGTAAGACACACATGCACTTTAGTTGGCCACGTAGACAAAATGTCAGTCGTAGTAGATATGCAGATGCATTCGAGAATTGTACTAATAAATAAAAACTCATTTGTAAAATGGATGCAGTGAGTCGAGTACACAAAGACCTGGACTGGATTCCATTTCACTGTTCCCGAGTACTGTAAAAGGCGTATCCATTCAAAGGGTATTCATATAATTGTTTATAATAGAAATGTTTCGCAAAATAAAAAGTCACAAGGCGTACCATCATTCGAGGTAAGTAATGGCTACGAGTTCCATTTCCAACAGTACATTGTTATCTTAACAATAAGGGCCCTGTTATTCACGCTCCCTGTACCTATACAACGAGATCGCCTGACAAAGTTCGTATGGGAAGAACAGTCTGCCCAGTGACCTGCTAGAGCCTGACGAACCAGCAAGGAACATTCCGAAATTGAAATGATCCCAATACTCTAACTCGAGTACTGACATGTGCAGTAACACGGTGAAGAGTGTGCAACATGGTGAGGAGTGATCAAAGAGAGTAATGAGTATTGTGAGTGACTGGCGCACACACGGCGCGGCCTGAATGTGGCACAACAATGGAACCAGCCCCTTTGTGGCAGATATTCGCAAAAAACCCGGTTATTAGCTTCGGCAAGTCTCGTATTGTTGAGAGAATCCCTGAATGTCGTGAGTAGTCCCGCGCTGTTGTGTGTATTTATAGTATTGTTCTTTGTTTGTACGGATTCGGGTTGCGTTGGGAAGTCGTTCGTTAAGGCTTCCAGTAAACAGATCATCGGATTACGTAAACTGATCGCAGGCGATGTTGGCGGGAGCGAACAGGTCGGGGGGAGGGGGGGCAGTAGGAGGCCTGTTTCATAGTAGGAAGGATCGTGTTAACAACTAGTATTGTCGTTAATCTGATAAAGACAAATAAGGCCTGCGCAGACGAGGTACTGTCCCCCGGGTACTTTTTTGTCCCTCATTATAGATCTCTTATAACTGTACGGAATAACGCACACAAAGGATTAAAAGTACCCCGTACAAAAAGTCCCCCGAACCACCGAGGACACCGAGGGACCGGACTAGACAAAAGTACGGGGGAGTCCCCGAAAAAAATAGAACCAACGTGACTAGGCCCAGCAACGCACACAGCGAACTTTAGTCTGCATTGACCGCTCGATGGTGACGCACGCGTGCACGACAAACAATGGCGCACGATATCGATTGTAAAATTTTAATAAGTGAGATTGAAAAAAGAACTCCATTATATGATACGTCAAGAAAAGAGTATCACGACCGAAATTTAAAGAAAAAGTTGTGGAACGAGGTATGTCAGGAAGTTTATTCCTCTTCAGTTTGGGATTTAATGTCGAGTGAGGACAAAACCAAATATGGTAAGTTTTTCGGATTTTCAATAAAATGCGTATTTAGTGATTTATTGTTTTTATTCAGGAAAGTTGCCACTTATTTATTAAATTTGGTTATACTGCCATGGTACAGATCCTTGAGGAGACGTAAAGTAATTGGCCATGTAATTTCGAGTTTCGATACCAGTATCTGTACCTCTTACACCAACTGGAGGTATATCCTCGAAAGTACAAGAATACAGTGTATCTTCAAAATGAATGCCATCCCTTTTACGGACAAAATTATGAAGAGTACATGCAGCTTTTATTATTGTTATTGCAAATTTCATATCAACATTCAAACTTCTTTGAAATATTGCCCATTTATTACTCAAAATACCGAATGCATTTTCAACTATTCTTCGTGCTCTTGATAGACGATAATTGAAAATGCGCTGCTTTGGACTTAAATTGCGATCAGGGTAGGGCCTCATCACATGATTTGAAACAGCAAACGCTTCGTCTCCAACAAAAACGAAAGGCATGGGATTTCCGTTCTCATCATTAGGAAGATTATGATTATTGGGAAGGGGTATTGAACCACTTGAAATACCCTTTTCTAAATTGGAATTTTTAAATATGTTTGAATCACTATGTTTCCCATACGCTCCGACATCAATGAATGTAAAACAATAGTCAGCATCAACAACCGCCATTAAGACTGTAGAAAAATATGATTTGTAATTGAAATAATTTGAACCTGAGTTTGGTGGCATCTTTAAGCGAATATGTTTACCGTCCACAGCTCCCAAACAATTTGGGAATTGAGTTTTTCTGTAGAATTCACTTGCAATCTCTAGCCATCTTTCCTCATTAAAGGCAGGAAAACATGCATTTTTACACAGCTGCCAAATTGCTGTACAAGTTTCTTTAACGATAGAACGTATAGTAGATGCTCCAATTAAGTAGTCTTCTTCAAGATCAACAAACGATGAACCTCGTGCTAAATACCTGTAAAATAAACCGGAGAAATTAAAAATCTTGCAGCCTTTTATATTGTCATTTTATTTTGCAGGAAAGGAGTTACAGAAGAGATGGACTTCTCTTAGACATTGTTTTAGAAGAGAACTCGCCGCCCAAAAAAATACGCCGTCTGGAAGTGCAGCCAAGAAGAGGAGGAAATACATGTACTTCGATTCTCTTCTATTTTTGTTGCCTTTTACAGAAATTGTAGATACAGAAGGATCTATTGAAAACGATGAACCTGAGCTGAGCAATGTGGAAAATAGGAGAGATATAACTTCTCAAGCTGAAGCAAGGTTTTCAAAACCAAGAACGGTGAGCAAAAACACCGATGAAGAAATAGTAACTCTACTTAAAGAAGGTAATCAAATGCTTTCTAAATCAAAAACATGCGATAGCGGGCAAGACGAAGATGAGTTTTTTTTACGTTCGCTTACTTCATATATGAAGGGATTTTCTGAAGAACAAAAATTATTATTGAGAATGGAAATTTTAAAGTTAATTTTAAATTTTAAGCAATCATCAAACGACAATTCAAGATTTTCTCAAATGACCGTAACACCTAATGTTAGAAATGAAACACCTAGGAGAGAGCCGCTGTCATCTATTCAAAATCGTTTTAATAATCCAATCCAGTCTGTATCGTACACCACCGCAAATGACTTGTCTGAAAATCTTGAATATATTCCTCAACCATCGACATCACAGCTCTCAAATGTAGTATCTTATACACCAACACCTGTGCATCGGGATTACGTTTTAATCACATCTCCAGAAAATGATACCTGCGACACTTTATTCAGTCTTGGCGATGGCGATGAAGAAAATTAAGTGTCTGGCTCAAGCCTCAGTAGGTACTTTAATTATGGTAGATTTATTATATAACATAAAGACTGATTAATAATTATGCATCCTTCCAAAAAAATTATGAAAAGTTGTACCTAATGTGAAAAAATATTTTATTGTGATTGATGATGATTACCAAATCTAAGATGATTAAATAATTATTACGAACTGGAAATGCATTTATTTACTTACTTTAAAGTTACTGACAGTCTCTCTTCTGGACCAATACATTTCCTCATCACTGTTTCAGAATGACTTATAGCAGGTTCCAAAATTGACAGCAACTCATCAAAAGTTCCCACCGACATTTTATAATATTTGAAAAATCTTTCTGGATATTGTTTTAACTGACCATGCTTCACATGAAAATATCCATTCAATAATCGATCTGAAATAAAGGGATGGACCCAGTATTTTCTTTTAAAACGTCTTTTTTTATTCTTAAAGTGTATGTAAATTATAACACAACGCAATTTCAGAATATTTGCTTCCATAGCGTGCGGTGCGCTTCACTTCTGGGCAACAAATGACCGCACACCGTCTGCGTTAAGTCCTTGGCAAGTCCTCGGAGGACATTTTTTCCACCGTACAGGGATTTTTGTCCTCCAGGGACAAAAGTACTTCGTCTGCGCAGGCCTATAGCTACATAAACAGTGCGAGGGCTTACGTGCTGCGGGGATACACTAGAGGCAACTTGTTACATTCGAGCAGGGGGATTTTTGATGCTGTTGTAATGGTACCGGAGCACGGCGCGCGGCAGGCAGAGTGCACACGTTGCAATAATAATTAAATAAAATGTTACGCCGCGGTCCGTGTACAGCCTACATCTAACTCGTGTCCACCATAAACAATAATGCCCTTACAAAGATATGTATGTATGTGTTTATGGCGCCCGGCGGACACACTCGGACTGCCTCATACAGTTACCTACCTACATATGCCTAGTTGATACATCGTCTCACTACTTTCTATACATTTCTCACGTGGCAATAATTTCGTGCAGTTCCCAAGAGAAACTCGGCAAGTGCTGTAACTGAACCAGCAACTTGTTCTAACTCCAGACATCGATACTTTACTGCGGCTGATAGTTTCGATTCAATTTCCGAAGCCGCACAACAGACACAACTTGGAAAAACTTTTGTATTGAAAGAATTTATATATATGTACTGAACCTGGAAGTTAAGTAACGTAAATGTTAAAAGAGCAAGTTGAACATAGGTTTGTAAGCACATTTCTGTTTATAACTAAAGACGACTTAATGTCTGGTAGCATTTAGTGTCCGCCCGCCAGCCCACGTCCGACAGGAGCTTAGTAGCAAGTTCGAGCAAATACTTTATTGCTAAATGTTTCTCCATCTGTAACGACGTGTTACTTATTCCACGGAGTCGCACATTATTAAACAAGCAATGACTGGCATAACTAACATTTCTAATGATATTTTTTAATTTGATTATTATCACTTTTTAACACGATAACC